GGGAGTTTCTAGGGTTTTCTCCCAAATCATCTTGTGTCTTTGAGTTATTTGAACATGGTTGAGGTTAGAACCTCAGATCTGGACTAGAGAAGGTCTTGAGAGTCCAAAGATTCGAGGTTTATTGAGTTGGAGGCAAGAAGCTCGTGTGTATTTAACCTTCTTGGGGCTTGTAATGGCGTTATGGAGCATATATGTCATGCATGAACGTAAAGATCGAAGCTTTACATGACATTCAATCCTAGGGAGTCTAGATCTAGTGTTTGGAGTGATACATCTACCCAAAAACGTCTGAATGGGAGTATGGAGTGGATGGACTCGACGAGTCTATTAGGGTTTACTCGATAAAGTCTTTTTTTTATATTATTGGCATTCTGGAAAAACCTATAAATGTTAATAAGCTATTTCATCTCTGTATGTTAAGTTAATAAAACAACAAACACCTATATTTAAACAAAGGCATTATTATTTTTCTTTAGAAAAATATAAAGTTAAAAAGAATGTTTTTTAATCTCTAATAAATCAATATCCATTTTGCCACATGTCAATCTTTCATTAGTTTTGACACTTTTCATTTTGTGCTATATTTGAAATAAATAATATCTACATGTAAGATTTTTGGGTTTTTTTTCATATTTTAAAATTAAAAAAGCCACATAATACTTCTATTTATATATGTAATGTATTAAATATAATTAATGTGATATAAATTGCAATAAATGTGTTTCTTATTTTCTTATTCTAAATCTTAATTATATGCGCAAATTGATAGTTCCCCATCTTTTAGCTCATACCTAACATCCATTTTGTAATGTCCAAAAATTATGAGGTAAAAATTTCTTTTTTAATTCAACCAAAATACCATTTATCTTTTTATTCAAACATTCAAAAGTATATCCTAATAAAATAGTCATTAGAGTACAATCCCAAAATCATCATTATGCAGAAACATGGGTGGATGCGCTGCGATCAAGTCGGGCCCTTCCCTTTTCGAACCGGGAATACCAGATATCATAACCATAAAAACCATAAGCAGAAAGCTTAATAAGTTCCCCCAAAATCCCACATACCATACATGCCATTGGGCCTAGCCTGCAAATTGGGCCCAACCCACCATAATAGGCCTAGCCTTGTTAAGCTAATAGGCCCAGCCCAGCATACAAATGCAAGATTCATAGAGACAGCTAGCACCATATGTAACATACAATGGGCCTAGCCTATGATAAAAAATGGGTGTAACCCAGCATACAAATGGGCCAATCCCAATATACCATGCAAGAGTCACAAAGACAACTAGAATAACATATCCTAGTGGGCCGACATTGATGCCTTCGACACATGGATAAAGTGTGGAGACTCACCTCAATCAGAAGATAGCAAATTTCACACCCAAACTTTCTGCACAACGGCTCCTCACACTGAAGACAATCAATACTAACCCTAGTTACATTTTTAATGTCAAACCTATAAATCATGAGTCCTAATAATGATGCAAGCTCAAATTAGGCCCACTATTGTCCCAAACCCAAGTAGAGGGTCCTAAGGCCCAATACGATCCCAAGCCCAAAATTTCCATAACCCTTGAGTCCAAAAAGGTGGCTCAAAATTAAAAGGGCCAAAGAAATGTATGCCCTACATACCAACTTGTATGCCCTACGTACGGGCCATATATGTGCATGGTATAACTCACCAAAGCAGAAGAAATGGGGACTCCTCAGGTGTACGTCCCGCGTAGCAGAAGAGTACGCACCACGTACTCACCACCGAGGAACAAAGTATAAGAAGTTGATGCACGAACCACGCATTATGATGAGTGTACTCCTATATACGACCAACGTACTCAGTAGAGGGCTAAAATCCCTAATAAGCTCTTAATGGTCAAGACAAGAACATCCAAACTCAGATCTGACCCTTAAGGGGTGTCTTAACACGTAAAGTTGGCAACTTTACTCCTTTGCATGACTTAATAGGACCCAATCCTTGATTCTTATCCATCTAAATCTATAATATGATCACCAACTATAGTATGCTCCATTAAAACCCACAAGATGACATTTTTATGACTTAACAGCGTCAACAAAGACCAAATATGAGGCTTAAAGGTCCTGGAGAAGCTTCTACTCACAAGAACCATAATCTTAGGACCAAAACATGCATAAAAATTCCCATAACTAGATCTACACTAAAGAACCATATAGTTTGATGCTTTATACCCCTAGAAGATAGATTAAAATGCACAAAGTCTGGATCCATAAGCTTCAAGCAATTCAACACTCCTTCAAGAGGCTCCTTCTTCTTCAATGAGAACCATAATACATGAAATCGTAACAAGATCTCAAGAACCACTCAAATGGGGGGCTAGGCTTTCGTATCTAGGGTTTAATGGGACAGAGGTTGAAGGCAGGAAGGTTTGAAGTTGAGTTCACGCCATTAAATAGGGTCTAAGACCCTAAATTAGGGTTTGCACCTGACTGGAGTAAGCCCAACGTATTCCAAAGTCCCTCCACGATCAATCCTCGTAGTTCTCAACGTACTCTCTGTACGCCCAACATACTAGGCTAGGCCCTAAAATCATCAATCTTTTGAAGGCCATAACTTCTTCGGTCTAAGCCCGATTTCGACGATCCTTACATCCATGGAAAGGTAATGAGAATCTCTATAATCCTATCAACTCTCCTTTGCTTTAACACTTCCTGAACTTAAATCCAAAATTCATAAAAGTCTCGAACTATAAGTTTACAATTATACCATGAGCTTCAAAATGCAAACCGAACTCCAATATCACCCAATCTACATTATCCACACCTAAAGGGGTCTAAATCTCTCCATCCCCAAGGCCTAAAGCCTTAAGATAACTAATCTTTGGGTCATGGCCCTGAATTAGGAAACGATTCAGAACAGGGTGTTACACATTTGATTCTGGAATTTGAAATTCACATCTACTCTTCCATCCCTTCCAAAATATCTCAATGTTTTGTATGTCGATTTTAATATAAAACACTATCAATCACCTAATTTCTGACCTGTTTCATTTTTACAAATCCTTTCCAAAATTCAATTTCAATTTAGTGTGTGTGTGTGTGTGTCTATATATATATATATATATATATATATATATATATATATATATATATATATATATTAATTTGAGACCATAAATATTGTGTGACACATGGGGACACAATCCTAGCCACTCATTTTGGAGATCAAAAATATATTTTTAAAATGAAAAATAAATGAGAATTTTTGATTTTTTTTAATATTATTTTCGTCAATTAGATTATAAAAAAACAATTAAAAATAATTATTTTTTAAATATATGTGAAATATTTTAATAGAATATTACAGTATAAATATTAAAACGAAATTGTTAGAGTATTCAAATATTCTACTAGAATATTAGACTATAAGTATTTAAACAATTCTAATAAAATATTAGTATATTTTAGCAACTCTAACAATTCTTATAGAATATTAGAATACTTTAACATATCTAACATTTCTACTTGAATAGTAGAATGTTCTAACAGTTTAAGAGTTCTATTTGAATATTTACAATGTAACATTTCACATATATTTCAAAAAACGGTAATTGTTTTTATATTTTTTGGGGTAAATTAAATGTTGAAAATAATATTAAAAAAGAGTTTTCATATTTTTTTTCTTTTATTTTCATTTTAGATTTTTTTATCTCCAAGATATATGACTAGAATCGCGTCAACATTTCTTACAAAATTAACATTGTCTCAAATCAATATATATATATATATATATATATATATATATATATGTGTGTGTGTGTGTGTGTGTGTGTGTGTGTGATATTTCATATTTATTTCATTATTCATCACATTGTCAGAATTATTTTGGTTGACTTTGAAAGCGTTTCCTATACAAAATCATTATCAACGATTCGACACATTTATTTAAAATAGACAAAAAAATTATATGGGTATATATTGATTACTTACGGATTCATCATATTGTTTGTATTTATTTTAAAATTTTTATTTTAAAAATGTTTAATGCTTACATATTCATATTTAACTTTTTTTAATTGACTCGTGTAGTATATGAGTCCTACACCTAATAAACAAATAAACACAAATCTTTAATATTTAATTGTGGTCCCTCCTATTAGACCTTTTGATAGCACAATATTTCACAACTTAAGAACAAAACTATGAACCAACAATGAACTTCACATTTTTACCCATGCATCGACTAATCATCAATGTTTTAAAAATCATTTTTTTAGTTGAACCATTATAGTGGCCGATTCCTGGTTTAACTGTGGGTAGTGTAGTGTGTCATCGGCATTCGCCGTTGTGTACACTCAGGATAACCTGATGGATTAAGTTGTTCAGTTTGTTTTGTAAATGAGTTGTTTTTAATGAGCTACGTGAAACCCAACTATTCGAGTGAAATAAACTGATTGAAACATGTTTTTATCGATTGTATGACAATGGTTCAACCCAGTTTATAAAGAAACCGTCTGGTTTAACTTGATATAAAAATTGACATAGAAACGATCATTTGAACCGGTTTTCAAAAAAGTGTCAATCATCCTTCATACCAAATCAACCTTCTAAATATACAATTAAAACCATAGTCTATTTAGTACCAAATAAATCATTCCAACATCCTACCCTTAAAACATGCCCTCGTTCATCCATGTTACATGACATACGACAACTTTTTAAAATATTTTAACAAACTAATTAATCAAATACAAGATATATATGGGAAATGAATAAAATAAAATAAAATTCCTTTTTTAATTGATGTAAATAAAAATTGCAAACTAAATCAATATGGAAGGCTCGATTTGGTTCAACCCACAAGCTAAACACATCCCAAATCAGCCGATTAGATCCAATTTAACCAATTTCATGATGAACTATTTCAACTTAGATCCTAGGAAACTGGAAACCACCTTGAAGAACACATCTATTTCTTAATGGCATGTAAGACTGGAGTTTGCAGAAAATATGATTTCTCTGCTACAAAAGCTCAATGATAATGGCAATCGTGAGGTACATTGCGTTATGTTTCGAATACAAATCAGATTGTTGCACGGATTTGATTGATAGAAATCCAATCTTCCTTTCCAAATGCCCCCCAAGACAATCAATAGAGAAATGGATGCATGTCATGCTGATGTCAATTTCCAAATTCCTGCTACCCAATGCTTTTGAACTACAACGAAAGGAAGAAAAAAAATGTTATAGAAGATATGAAGAAAAAGACAAAAAGAAAGAATGTAAGCAACGATCATGCTTAGTAAACTTTGTGACAAAGGAGCATAAACAGAAGAGACAACTACAAAGCAACATAAGTATATGTGTGTTCAAGAAACATCATATAATGTTCAAATTTATACTTTCATGGTTGTAGGGATGATTATAGTGTGTCATTATGGAACGGGGGTGTGCAGCGTAGCTTGTGATAATGTTGCTGCCGAAACCTGAAATCTGATATTCACTCAGTTTTTGTTATTGAATGTTGATGAAGGGAATGTATGAGAATCTCTTGCATGAACATATAATAAACTGCAGTAATAGGATCAGGAGTTCTATCTCTATCTTGGAGTGTGGCATAGCTTGGATGGGTTGCTGGTCTATTGTTAAAACAAACCCATCTGTTAAAACAACCCAGATGTTCTGTAAACAATAACATTTTCAACTTCGGAGATATGAAAAGAAACATTATTTCTTTCTTCTATGTGTTTGCTTATCTCTTAACTGTATTTGGAACTATTAAGTATATTAACCAAAACCAAGTACTTGTTTTTGTTTTTATACTTAGCACGAAAGAGAGGTCTTCATCGAATACATAGAGGCAGTAATGGTGTTGTAGGTTCTTCAACTGATAAGCACACATGAGACTGGGGTTGCCATTAAGATGATCAATGATGTTTTTAAACATGTTTATGAAGGATTTTGATCTTCACCAGCTTATTAGAGCAAATGATGATCTCACACCCGAATGGTTTGTCTGAACGTTTTGGATAGATTTTATAATTGTTTTTGGGAATTGGATGACCAAATTGGAAATAAAGTGAACGTATGTTGATATTTATTTCGATTTGTCCTTTCTAGTTGTGGAAGTTACTAGCATAAGCCTAGGAGACAAGTTTATGATTATGATATCGTTATTAATTAGTTATTGTATTTTTCATTTGGATTTTGTATAATATTTATATTTTTTTTACAATTACTTAAGCAGTGTGTCAGTTATTTTATAACAAATAATACAATCGTAACTTTTATCATTCAACAATTAGCATAATAATTCAAAGGTTCTAACCAAACAACATCTTAAAAATTCTAACCCTTTTAAAAATATCCTAAAAATTCAAACACTTTTAAAAAATCCAGTCCCTAAAAAAATATCAATCAAAAATAGAACAAAGATGCCAATGATGCCACCAAAATGCACAAACAACTTATCCTTCCCAACCGAGCAATAATGGTATACACTGAAGTTGGACCAACACATGTAGCCGACATGAAATGTTCTGCTGCATACGCCAAACCATAGAAGAGTAGAGTAGTAATGACTACATTCATGGAGTGAGGGTGCGTTTGGAAAGGAAATGGAGATCCCTGGGATTTTATTTCTGCAAAAACACATAAACTAGTGATAATAAAGCTAAATGGGGATGGAGGCATGATAAGAGCTTCTTCCCCCAATGTTCCCCAGTAATAGTTAATCCAGACGCGAGCCGGAGGTTTCAGGTGAGTAACGATGTGGGCGATACATTTGAACAAAAACACAATCACAAACTTGAATGTGATGTTGTTGGCTTCTACATGTAGGCCCATAGCTTCTTCGTCGACCGGATTATCCATGGTGGAAGGCATCAGCTCCGATGAAAGTTTTTGAAGAAGAAAGGCTTTTGCTTTGGGTTTGGGTTGTGAAGAAACTGATGCTTCGTTCCAAAAATTATTTATAGCGCGAATTTACGCATTTAAGTCAATGGCTTCCGATAGGGCAAGCACTTTTTTTTTGAAACGTCAAACTAACTAATCTACTCCTAAATAACCACTTATATCTCCACCAAAGGGCCAATGGCCTAGTGGTATGGAGTGGGCAAGCGCATCTAATGCCTAAAGACTTTAGTGTATACTTATCTTGAATTCGGTCGAAAATTTTAACAGATTGCAACAGACTTTTACAGTTTTACTTGACTGCACATCACCGACTTTCGTTTGGGACAAGTGAAATCAAAAGACTTGAGCTGAAGTACTATTATGAAGCGGTCTAAGAATCGAATTGCAATTTGAACTTGATAAGGGCACGGAAATTTTCTTTTACAAAGAAACTATTTATGAGACCTTTTGGTTCAATTAGTTCTGAATTTTGAGTCTGAAATATATTTGAATCCGAAAGCATTTGGATTTATTGTGTTTGATGGACAAAAAATAATATTGAATTTTTTTGTGATTTTGTGTTTGACTTGCAAATCTATAAAAAAACCTTAGATTTAATTTATGTAGAATGACCTAACTACTTTTTATTGTAATTTTTCTTGCTATCTCTTTCTTGTTTTATAAAAAATGTGAGAATTGCCATTTATTAAATTATATTATGTGTTAAGTTATATCTTTTGAACTCTTTTAATAACAATAAATGATACAAATAACCAATACATAATATTATAATACATATGCCATTAATAGTTGAAGTATCTTTTCCTTCTAAATCATAGAGCTATTTTTGGTTTTGAGATTTTATATGATAATTTTCTATGATTTTATTTGATGTTAGAATATACGTTCTATAACAAATTCTTAATATGATCATCTATTCAGACGGTGTTTGGGATTTCATTTTAAAGTTAAAAAAGATTTTTACACAAAAGAACTTATTAACTTATGAATGTGGAAAAAGAAGATTTTAAAAAATGTTTGGATTAACTTTTTAGTGACAAAAATCAATAAGTCAATAAATTAAAAAAATGTTTGGCTAACGTATTGACTTTTTCTTGTTTTTTATTCTAATAAGTCATAAATCATTCAAAGAAGTCACAAATTTTAACTTCTTCAAAACTTATTTTCAAATGGTAAATCAAAAGTTGTTTTAAAAGTCTTTATCAAATATTCAAACACTTTTTTTTTAACTTATTAAGTTTTCAAAAAGTCAATAAGTTAAAAAAAAAAAAGTTTTTAGATGAAATCTCAAGAAGCCTCTAATTGCACTAGAAGTTATTATTTCTAAAAGTATTTATTAAAAAACTACTTTCACTCAAGAAAGAGGTCCTCGTCTAAAAATATATCTTTTTGGTATTTCTCTTTAGTTGTTCATGTCTTGAATTCACAAAACATTATTTATTTCTAAAATATGTGCTCGATAACAGGCAAAAGAATTTATCCCATTTGAAAAATTAATAAAAAAAAACATGAAAAATTGAAGATGTATTAAGCGTAAAATGTAGCAACAAAGTTTAGTGACAATAAAAAAAATTCCGAAGGCTAATTTTGGCCTAATTAGGAATGATTTTTTTTTTATGGTCTTATATATTAAAGAAATGGACAGTTGTGGATCCATCAAATTTTGACCTAATTAGTTTCATTATCCATCAACCAAAGTGTCACGGACGGAATCTTTCATTCCAAGTCCTTCATATTCTTTTAGAATTCTTGAACCAAACAGTATCTTTTGATTTTTAAATGAAACTACATAATATATATATATATATATATATATATATATATATATATATATATATATATATATAAATATATAAAAGGTTACAACCCATAGAAACCACGGTTAAAAAATTTAAAAACAAATTTATATTATTAATAACAGTTAAGTTTGTTTAGCGTTTTTGTATTGATTTTTTAAAATTAATATTAATATAAATTTGTAAAAAAGTATGTAAATTTAAATATATGTTAAAAAGAAACACAATCAATCATGGAAACCTAAATATCAAGATAACTAAAATGTATCTTTTAATAGTGAATGCTTTATGAAATGTAAGGGCAAATCATTATTTTATTATTTTTTTGATTTGAGTGAGCAATCAAGAAACACAATGTGCATCTATTAAAGCCTGAAAATCAAATATGGAAACAAATTCAATATTATGATTTGCAATGCTATATAAAAAATAAAATATTAAAATAATAAAAAATGTAATATAAAAAAACATAATTGTTTGAATTTAAAACTAAGAAGCATTTATAAATTCCTAAAAACTTCCTTATACACAACATTGGAAGTTTTGTTTGTAAGTCTACCATCCTTATCTAGCATTAACAATTTCAATCATTCTCTACTCTAAACTCTAGATAAGACAACATACAACTGTCCATGTGAAAAAATAGGATCTTTGAGATACAAACCAACCTTTGATAACGACTGCTCCTGACTTTTATTAATTGTCATTGCAAAACATACAGCCAATGGAAATTGTTTTCTTTGAAATTTGAAGGGAATTTTTTTTTTCAGATGGACTTAAAGACATTTTTGAAATAAAGGTTTGCTTTCCAATATTAGTTCCAAATATGATAATTGACTCAATAATACGCTTGTCCATATATTTCACTTGTAGTCTAGTGCCGTCACATAAGCCATTTTTCTGATCAATGTTTCTTAGTAACATAACTGGAACACCGACCTTTAAAATTAACTTGTCATTTAGCAAACCTGATACTTTATGACCATTTAAAATATCTAAGGAGTATAAATTGGGATCAAACTGATCATGAACAAACTCTGATTGGCAAAGACTATCTGAACTTAAATATTATATTTCGTCTCCGGGAAACAATGCTAACAAACGATCATTGATTTGTTGGACAACTTCATTTTTGGGAGCTAGCATAGCTCTTTCTTGAAAATAGCTCGTAACGTTGAATTTTTCCAAGATTGAAGGATATATAAACTCAATTAATGAACCTATAGGATCATGTGGATCATTAATGAGAATATCATCTGGAACATCAATAATCGCTTCGCCATCGTTTGAACCACCAACTTTTCCTTCTCCTATATCCAAAAGCCAGTTTGCAAAATTATGTATTTTTCGAATATCATATGGATCCCTTCCAACGGTTAGTCTCATGTTTATTGTTAATCTATGTACTTTGCATTGTTGCCGTATATATGAAGAACTTAAAGAAGCATTAACGATATTTTGTCTACTACCTCCTTGAACAACAGGTAGAATCTGTCTGAAGTCTCCTCCAAAAACAATCGCTTTCCCTCCAAATGGAATTTTTGAGTTGCTAGACTTATCAAACTTACATACATCTTTCAGAGCTCGATCTAAAGCTTCAAATGTATGCATGTGGACCATAGGTGCTTCATCCCAGATAATCAATGAGCTTTTTCTTACTAATCTGTCGAGTTCGCTATCAGTCGGTATCTTACAAACAGAATCCTCCGTAAGATTCAGCGGAATTATAAACCGATAGTGTGTTGTCCTACCTCCAGGCAATAGTAACGATGCAATACCACTTGAAGCAACATTTAAAACTATATCACCATTACATCTAATTGCTATAGATATTGTCTTCCAAAGAAAGGTTTTGCTTGTTCCACCATATCCATACACAAAACACACACATCCTTTCTTATCGTTGACTGTATGCATGAAACATACTATCAAACTCTTTCTTTAAAAGCGGTATGTCATAGTCTAGCTCCTTCGTGATAAGGCGATTTTTTGAAGAAGAAACTGTATCTGAATCAGGGTAAGACATTTGTTTATAACTTTTTAGACTGGTGTTGTTATGAAATAAAATCTGTTCGATCTCGAACAAAGTCATGTTTTTAAGTTGATCCTCATTGAGTGAAAAACCTGTAAAAAATGAACAATATGTCAAAAAGAATATAATATTAAACAGTTTAATGGTAATAAAAAAATTGTACCCTGCATATTGAAAATATGTAATATCCGTTTTTACAAATAAAGATAGAAAATTATAATACCTGGAGACTTTAATCTACGTTGTTGGTAGTAAAGAATATCATCCGACAAGTGTTGCCATGCATTTTCCCAAACAAACTATGGTCTAATGAAACGATTAGACATTAACATCGTAGCAAATAAGAAACACAGATAAGAACCAGTTCCTGAATGACTTGCTTCCTTAATTGCATCAACGTATTCTTTATCATCATGTAAGAGGCCCAAAGCATAACATGCATCTCGAAAAGTAGGAAATTCTTCACCATTTACAGTACGAATTTCATCAAATGATTTTGGACATTTCACTTTATTTATAAAGAATCTGTAAGAAGTAGACTTCGCCAAGTTTAGGTGAAACATAGTGAATCCTTCCTATTGAACGTCCAATTTTCTTTGGTTTCCACGACCTATCATTAGGTTTCCAAACAAACTTTATAGGAAATTCAACATATGTAAGTTTTCGTGCATCTTTATTAATTTTATTACATTCTATCCAAGATGTGAACATAGAAGTAGCAACTGAAGGTTGTTCAAGAACATCGTCAATATCATCATCTGCAGCATATATGACTTGTTGTTGATCATGAAGATGAAAAGGTAGTTGCATCACAGAAGGATATCGGTAATGAACATCATATTTAAATAGTCGCCATGATGCTTCACATGCAGATATGTATCTACAATCATAATAATCTTTTATTTCACCCACAACCTTTTCTTGATGAGAAGCAGTGTTGATCTCAACAGCAATTGTAGCTCTATCTGGACCTTTGTTTATATATTTAAACAGATACTTTATGGAAGATCCCTGATTGCACCATTCAACATTAATGTGTGCATGATATCTTTTTAACAGATATTTGTTATATGGAACAACATTTATGTTGTCTAACTTAACCCCTAATTTTTCGACATAATATCCATTGTTTCTTCTCATAT